TTTGAAAGCAATCTGAGAAATATGGATCTAAACCTGAAAACAGTTACAAATATTCACATGTTATAGTACAGCTATTTATTATAGTACGCATAAGATTTCACCTATCAGGATGTAGAGAATTCTCACTCTGACCACAAAAAGCAGATATATGCAACTTGTAAGTTCTATGGAACTAATGATCACTGGGAAAGAGATGTCCAGGGAAGAATTTAATATTAATGTTTTAATGACTGTTTTTAATATAGGGTACTATTATAATATTGTCTATTTTAGTGGTTTTAATGTTTTTAGAAGTTTTAATATTGTTGTACGCCACTCAGAGACCAATGGTAATGGCGTGGCTAAAAAACCTTGTAAGTAAATAAATAAATAAAATTTACATCCACCCAAAAGTGGGTAAGAACTAGCCTGGTGCATCAATACAGCATTTTGATTTCAAGAGCAGCCACCAGATGTCCCTGGCAACCTTGACTGCATAGCCTGAATACCTTTGTTTAATGCTTCCACCTTTCTTACATTCTACATAAAACTATACACAAAATCACGAGCTACAGATATGCCTGCTTCGTCCTTTTGTATGCAGCCAATTCACAAAGCAAATCTTCCTAGGTGATTGTTTAAAAATCTATTTGAATGTACATCAAAGTGGCAGGAGCTGTATGTCTGGGAGGTATTTATAATATGTTTTAGGGTGAAAGGCTGCATCTGAGGTTACAAAGGTTCTTCAGGCTACTGTTGCTGCATTTTAGGAAGATAGTGCTGGGAGTGGGATACACAAAACAGACTGTGTGGGGGAAACAGCTTTGCAGACAGACTGAGAAGAAAGAGAAAAACTGGATAGAACACTGAGAATTTAGAGCAGTAAATATTGTATTTCACCTGGTGCCCACTAATACCATATGCTAATCAAATTATCAGTCCTTCAATAATTCATTCAAATCTACAAAAAGACTTTTTGAAACAAGGCTTCCCTTTTTCTTATCTACTGTACTCCAAACAAGAATCTGTTCTGGGTCCACCAACACAGATTGTTCTCATATTATTTGTTACACATTATTATTGGTCTTGTTTTGTTATGACCTGCTAACAAACATAAAAAACTGTAAAAAGCATTTTAAAAGTATATTACTGTATTTGTGCATAATGCTCCAATGCTAAAGGCATTCAAATCTGCTTTGATTTGGATTTCTGCCTTGAGCATGGGTTGGACTTGATGGCCCTTGATGACTCAATTACAGTGGTGCCTCGCTTAACGGCGATAACCCGTTCCAGGAAAATTGCCGTTAAGCGAAAACATCGTAAAGCGAAAATAAAAACCCCATTGAAACGCACTGAAAACCTTTCAATGCATTCCAATGGGCTTAAAACTCACCATCCAGCAAAGTTCCTCCAGAAGGTATGCCATTTTCGCTGCCTGTATAGCGAGGCATCCATCCCTAAACACAGCGGGGAACCATTTTAGTTACCCGGCGGCCATTTTGAAACGCAATCAGCTATTTAAAAATCATCGTTTTGCGAAGAATCGGTTCCCGAAGTAGGGAACTGATAATTGCAAAGCGAAAGTCCCCCATTTAGACCATCATTTTGCGGTCGCCAAATGCGGAGCAATCGTAGAGCGAGGCACCACTGTATTCCATGCAAAGCGAAATTCCCCCATTTAGACCATCATTTTGCGATCGCCAAATGTGGGGTTCGTCGTAATGCGGGGCAATCGTAGAGCGAGGCACCACTGTATTCCATGATTCTATAATTTTCAAATACTCAACACAATTTGTCATTTCCTATTGTCCACACTTGCCTCCTTTTCTTCTGGAAAGGTAACAAGGTCTTAGTGATTTCTATTGTGTGCAATGTTAAGAATCTGATATTTATATAACTGGTTTAAAATAACCTCTTTTTATTTTTCCCCCACATAAATTACTTTGGAATCCCCTTATTATAGGATAATAGTTTTCAGGAAAAATAAAGCTTCACCATTAGCTTTTTTCAAAGATTCTGAATGTATGTAATCAGTTTCTTGCCAATTTTCTATATTAAACTGCTCATCTCCAAAACTGAAAAGTATCAATAGCTGTCACAAGACTGTATTTTGTTGTCCTCTACACATCTTATCATCTATGTTTAGGTCTGTTCTGGTATTATATTGAATGAAGTATTGCAGCATCAAATCCAAAAAGAAAATGATGTCTGACTCATTTAAAACAATAGACAGAATCCTACTGTTTGTCTAAGGTCTGCACAACTTGCTGTGCCTAACTGATAAGGCACAAGGGCACATACATCTTGGCTGTGCAATTGGTAGATGATCAGACATGCAACTGAGATGTGCCTCAGCATCTCATTAGTTAGCTGCAAATAGTGACTATAGATTACACAAACCTTATAGAAACACCAATAAGGTTCTGCCATTATTTTAGAAGTGCTAAGAAATTCACCACACTGAGACCTATACCAGGAGTGCCTTTGCACAATCAATAAGGTTCTGCCATTATTTTAGAAGTGCATGGACCATGGTCTACAACAAGGAGTGCCTTTGCACAATTAAAACTAGTGTGCCAGTTGTACCCATTCCTTGAGAGATCCAATCTGGCCATGATGATACATGCCTTAGTTGCATCCTGGCTGGGTCAAAAATATGGCTAACGGGTTGATCGCAGGGATCACATAACCCACCTGTTACAGCAGCTTCACTGGCTGCTGATCCATTTCTGGGCACAATAGGTCTTAACTATAAATTCCTAAACGGCTTGAGTCAAAGCTATCTCAAGGATTGGTTCCACCATTATGACCCTTCTTGACTGTTAAGATAATCAAGAGAGAACTTTCTCCTGGTCCCACCACCCTCAAAGATGCATTAAAATAACCTATAAATGGGAGAGAGCTTTCTCTGTTGCCACTACGAGACTTTGGAGTTCCCTCCCACAGGAGGCCAGACTGGCCCAATCTTTGCTGTTCTTCCACAGGCAGGCAAACACCTTTCTCTTCAGGCAAGTTTCACTTTAATGACTTGTTGCCCGAGTGGCATTTCTAAATGGATGGCTGTGCCTTACTGCTTTGAATGTGTTTTTGGTGTTGCTTTTTTCTGCTATATTTCAGTGTGGCATTTGTTTGATCCTTTTAAATATTTGAATACTTACTGCTTTTTTGCTTTAAATACAGTGGTGCCTCGCTTAGCGATTGCCTCGTTTAACGATGTATTCGCTTAGCGATGACGTTTTTAGAGCGATCCTGCACTCCGTTTAGTGATGTTTCCTATGACGAAATTTCGCATAGCGTTGTTCGGGACCATGCCTCGCATAGCGATGACAGTTTAGGCCCCCCTGTTTCACTTAGCGATGTCCGTTTTCGCTATTTTTAAAGTGTCTTAAAATGTTCAAAAA